CTGCCCACCTCAGAGGAGCAATAAGGAAGGAATCTGTAAATTCATTTCTGGGATCAGACCGTGGTGGTGCCTCTGCACCCCCACCCCTTTCCTTTTCTCTCCTTGACTGGTTGCAGCGTTGTCATGGTTCCCTAGCTCTTACCTGTCTCCTGGGTCTCTGGTATAGCCACCCTCCAGGACAGGTACCCGTTGCCTCCAGGCCCTCCTTCCTTTCCACCGTGTACAACAGCTGAATATCAATGGCTGCAGTGGGCGGCTCCATTGATCGCCGGGACCTACTTGGACCTGAGCCTCACCCCTGACTTGATAAACAGATGGGGGCTGAATTCCGGGCACAAGGTTAGAGAGAGGCCACAGAGGCCCTTGAGCCAGGCTCCCTGCGGGTCCCACAGGAAAAGCCCTGGGCCCAACGTGGGGGCTGCTGGGACTCTGTGAAGAGAACAAAGAAGTGGCCATTCCGTGTTTCAAACTCTCTGAACTTAGAGAATTGCACTCTGCTTTGGGAAAGCACTTGCTGCTTTCAAACTTTTTATATTCATCCCAAATCCACTTTCTTCTCTCCTTTGCCGCTAAACCAACCACTGCTGTCTCTGGCCTGGACCACGAAGTCACCTCCTGACTGGCCTCCCTGTTTCACAACTGCCAGCAACTCGCCTTCACATGAGAGAAACCAGCCAAAGGCCTTCCCCTGGCCGCCAGGCCCCCCGAGCTCCTCTCGAAGGCTCACACACCTTCAGCTCCTGCTCTTACCTTCCTCATCTCCTCCTTGTCCCTCAGAAACAGCTGCCTGGCTCCTCCCCTGGAAGTGGACACCTGCTGTCCCCCTTACCCTGCCACCTGCCTCAGCCCCCCACACGCTGGCTTCTCACCACTCTGGTCTCTGCCCAAATGTTGACTCCCCAGAAAGTCTTGTCATGCACCCCAAAAGCAACCCCTCCCTTACTCCGTCTACAACCCCTCACCCTGCTTCATTTTCTCCTTAGCACTTTGTCCTTCTTAAATCATCTTGCTTGTTTGTTTGCTTGCCTGTTGGTTAACTGTTTCCCGCAACTAGAATTTAGATTCCATGAGAACGGGCTTTGCGCTCTTTGACATCATGGTATTCCCACCAACGGCATCTGGCTCATAGTTGGCGCTCAGTGCATACTTGTTGAAGCTACTTGACTAAGCTGTCTTGCAACAGTCCTGTGGGATACAACAGGACAAACACCTCTCAGGGCATCAGGGCTGTGGTCACTCCTACCACCTGAATGCCAGGGACACCGAGACACAGCACCAAGGCATGCAGCAAGCTGATGCTGGAGCGCGTCCTCTGCGGCTTGCTGTTCTCCATTGCTCCTACCTATAGGTGAACACTGGGGAAGACACAAGAGGGTCACGAATGGGAGGCTTTGCTTTTTCCTTTGAGAGGCTAAGGAAGGGTTAACGCTGAGGGAGGCTGGGCTCAGGGGGTTGTGGGCAGCTGAAACCTGCTGGGTGGTGTCCTTCTGGGATGAGATCTTGGGGAACCTACAGGTGGCTGGAACCCGGAAGGTGACTGACAGGAGACAAGGCCTCCCCAAGGCTGGCTCGGAGGCAATGCCAAGAGTCTGTTCCTTGTCTCCCACTCACTTGGGTCTTCTAAGGAAAGTCTGAAGGATAGAGATTATTCCTTGGAGAACTGGGAGAGGGAAACAGGGCCAGGTGTTTGAGGGCAGATGTTTTTAGCAGTCGTGGGTTTGGGGGAGTCAGCAGCCTTGCCCTCAGCAGCCCTCCCCAACCCTTGCGGTGCCCCTTCCTTTCCTCTTTCCAGTTCTCGGCGGGGCAGGATGGTAGCTCAAGCACTGCAGAGCATGATTTGCCTCCCTATTTCCAAGGAGAAGGGGAGAGCAGGACCCCTGTGACTCTCTAAGAAAACTTTCAGGAGGATTGCTCAGCAAAATAAAAGATAAGATTTATTCTGAAGGGATAAACCCCAAATAGACAGAGGCATTAAAAAAAAGTGAAACATAGTCATAGCCATGGGTGGCAGACTCATATTGCAATTATTGATTCAAACACAGACCCTTTCTCTTCCTTGCATTTTTCACCCCTTGCCCTCCCAAAATGGCCGCTGCCGGCTGGGCAGTGACTGAGGGAGACAGCTGGGGGCGGGGGGGGGGGCAGACTTGGCTGCAGCAGTTGCTAAAAGTGAGCAGCACCAAGGCAAACGAGGGAGATGGCACCCTCCCTCATCCCCAGTCTCCTCTTTATTTGTAACAAGGGGGACAGAACCCCTGACCTGTCAGAGAAGTTGAGTGGATTAAATGGGATGAGGGGTCTAACACCCATTCATAACAGTAGTAAGAACTCTGATGTATTGAGTCCCCAAGGCCAGGCACCATGCCGAGTGTTTACAAACATCCCCTCCTTCAATCACTGGCCCAAACTCCAGGAAGGCAAGGAGTCGCTCTGCCTTGTTCCCCACCATGGTCCTAGTCCCAAGTGTTCTCCCGCACAGTGGTAGCAACAGCCAGTGCTCACAGGGCCCTCATCTTGTACACTCACAGTATAGCCTATTTACCATTTCTGCACTGTACATTTCCAATCTTTATGACAAACTTAAGGGATAATTACTAACATTACCCCCATTTTATGGATAGGAAACTGAGGCACAGAAGGCAGAGAGAAGTTGGGTAACTTTCCCAAAGTCATCAAGCAAGTGATAGTGCGGGAGTCTGAACCCAGACAGTCTGGCTCTAGAGTCCACGCCCTTGACCCCTGTGCTAACTTGGGGGCCAGGGGATGTTCACAAGCCTGGTGTCAGGCTGTTTTATAGGTAAACAAATTGAAGCTAAGAGAGCAGTTAAATGATAGGCTCCAAGCCACTGAGCCGGTCGGTGGCAGACCCAGGATTTGGATCCAGCGTGACCACGCTAAATGCCTCTGAAAGCGTACACGTCACTCCCCCCACCCCCAGCCCGAGCTCTGGAGCCAGGTTTTTCCTATAGGGCTCCCCCCGGAGTTCACAAATGTCTTGATCTGGGACTGGACTGAGTCAGGCAGCTGAGGAGCAGCCACAGCGACACCCCAAAGCTCAGAGACAGCCCCCAGGTTAGGAGTCCAGTCCCAAGTGCGGGACTGACTACGGGCTGGTGTCAGTCCTCCCTCCACCTGCAGCCCCAGGCAAGAGTGCTTTGGGGGGCCTAGGGCTGTCCCCATCCCCAACCTCCTAGGGCAGGATGGTGGCTGTCTTCCTGGGAGAGGAAACCAGCAACCTCACACATGGGGTTTGGTCAAGAGATTTTTCATCTTCATCTCCTGGCCAAGAGCGGAGCTGCCATCACTCACACGCTTGTTTTCCATCACTCACGTCCTTGCCCGTCGGCTGGCATCTGGCTCATCGTGGATGTCCCGTGATAAGTCAGGGACACGACAGACGCCGTTAACATAACATCCCTATTCACCCTTCCATGGTAGGCTGGCATGGAGAGGAGGCCCAGAGAGAGATGGAGTCGAAAGAGAACCGCTTTTGACACCAGACGCCCGTGAGGTTGAGTCTAGCCTCTGCTGCTTTACTACCTGGGGAGCCTGGGACAAGCCACCTAAGCCCTCTGAGAACCTGTTTCCACATTCATAAAAAGGGGGTAGGAATTCTTGTCTGGGATCAAAGCCACTGCTTTGCACAACCCCAGGGGCACCATTCGCGTTGTCTCTGTGAGTGGTGCCACATGAAACCCTACTCCCTAGACTAGAAGGTGGACGATGCCTCAAGGCTGCATACCGCTGAATCTGCACCTTGCAAGTAAGAGGGGCTACGTCATCTTTCAGGTGTGGAACTAAGGTGCTAACAGCGTTCTTGTGAGGACCGCAGATTATGCCACGCAAAGGGGCTGGGGCCTCATAGGTGCACAGTAGGCCTGGCATTTTTATGGGATAAGGAGGTAGCCCCTGGTTCACCACATCCAGACTCCAGACACCTCCTGCACAGAGAGATGCCCCTGCCTAGTTCTGGCTCATACGTGGACCAGGAGGTGGTGAGTAAAGACCCAACTCACAGCAGCTTTATTAGCAAGCTCTCATTTTCCACATCCTATAGGATCTCCTCTTACTTCTCAGTTTGGCCCATGGTAACCACAGAGAGTATTAGACGCCTTGGCAGCAGGCTTGGGATAGTTAGGTTTCACTCTCCTGGTGTGTGTAGCGGACTGGTCAGGAAATCCTGAATGGGATCTCTTCCCCAGCCTGGTTTTCTGGTCTCTGCCTAAAGCCATCGACTCTGCCTCCATCCCCCCTGCTAGGGTCTCTCTCAGTCAAGGAACATTTTTAAAAACCTGCCGTATGCTTGGCATGGTGGGCCCCTATTCCTGACCCTTTTATCTTCATTTGTTCGTTGGGCCAGTATTTATCGAGTAGCTCCTCTGACCTAGGCACTGTGGCCTGTCCTGGAGGCACGCCTCCAGCTCTCTTCACACGCCTGCTTTCATCACCATTGTCACCACACACTCCGCGCAGGGCACTTGCCCTCCCTTGTTCTGCCTTTCACAGAGGGGTGCCCTGTCTGGGCTTCCTTGACCCTGCCAACCTGCGAAGGAGTTGAGCGGGAGTGGAGGACCAGCTCCTGCCCTCAGCCCACCCTCCCGGCCCACTCCAGGGACATGTCTCAGCCGGGCTCTGGCCAGAATTCCAAGCCCCCCTGCCTCCTGGAACAGCTCTGAACTTCGTTGTTTCACCTCAGACCCTGGGGTCCCTGCTCCTGGGCGCTCTGCCCCCCGGCGCCCTGGCCCCCGGCGCTTGCAGCCGGACGCGGGAGCTACCAGCTTTTTGGAATTCCTAATCGCTCCTGGCCCCGGTGATTGGCTGCTCAGCTCTGACCCCACTTGGGCTGCCGCCTGGTTGGATAAAAGGGGAATCTCCTTGGGGCTCCAGAGCATTAGACACCGGAGGGGGCACCTGGGACCAACTTCGCGAAGCGGGGAGCCCGGCGGGGGGGTGGGGGGAGCCAAAGACCTGCGGCCTCGGCCCCTCCAAAGAGCCGGGAGATGACGGGAAAAGCGGGAGAAGCGCTGAGCAAGCCCAAATCCGAGACAGTGGCCAAGAGTACCTCGGGGAGCGCCCCGGCCAGGTGCACCGGGTTCGGCATTCAGGAGATCCTGGGCTTGAACAAGGAGCCCCCCAGCTCCCACCCGCGCGCTGCCCTCGACGGCCTGGCCTCCGGGCACTTGCTGGCAGCGCGCTCCGTGCTCAGCCCTGCGGGAGTGGGCAGCATGGGGCTGCTGGGGCCCGGGGGGCTCCCCGGCTTCTACGCGCAGCCCACCTTCCTGGAAGTGCTGTCCGACCCGCAGAGCGTCCATTTGCAGCCGCTGGGCAGAGCTTCGGGGCCGCTGGACACGAGCCAGACGGCCAGCTCGGGTAGGTGAGCGGAAGGCTGCGTGGCTACCTGACTCGCTGCGAGAGCCGGGACCCCACGCCGTCGGCTCTTGCTTGCACCGCAAGGCCTTTTCTGGGCGCAAAAGTTCGTGCCAGGCTGAAGGGTCGCGCTCCGGCCTGGGACCCGCGCGCCCGGGGCGAGGGTCGGGAGGATGCCCCGGGCGCCGCCGGGGTGCATCCCCAGTGTTTCGGGCCGCCGCGCTGTTCTCTCGTCCTGACGTGGGTCCCGGCTCTGAGGCGGCGCCCCGTTGGGGCCCCCCTGGAAACTGGGCTTGGCGTGTCAGAGCCCGTGAGGTGGACTGGGGGCCCCAGTTTCTCTGCTCCACTGTCACCCCAGCTTCCCCGACGACCCGCTCTCCTGGAGCCCGATTCTGTTCCGTGCGCTGGCGGTCAGGAAGCGAGTGCCAGCTTCGGCTCCAGCCCAGGTGCCCAAAGTTGTCGTTTCCTTTCTCCTTTTCTCCTTGTCAAACTCCCCGCCTTGGTCAGTGAGGGTTTATTTTTCGCCCCATGAGCTCGGACAACCCGGCCAGCGCGGCAGCTGAATCGGCCACGATCTGAGTCCACCTGAGCGCCACAGTATATCGGATCCCGGCGCCTCGCGGGCTCGCGGGCCCGTGGGTGACCCCGCCGCGCCCTCCCCGGACCGATTTCCCGGCCTGGCGTCCCCGCCCGCTCGGCAATTCCCCCGACTTTTCGTTACCGTTTTATTTATTTTTATTCGAAGGAGCAACGAAAAGTGTCGCGTCGCAGTGTCTCCAGTCTCGAGCGGGGGCGCATTGTGCGGGCCCTGGAAAAGGGGCTGAGGCGAGGGAGACTCCAGCCCTTCCTGGCACCCATCTCCCTGCGGCCCAACTCCGCTCCCTGGGGCCAATTTTCGGGCCCGGTGCGATGGGGCTGCAAGCGCAGGTCAGGGTGTGGAGCCCAGAGCCCCACTGGGGGTCTCTGCGATCCCCTTTAGGCTGCCTCGCTCCCCCTTATCCGTGCTCCTACAGCGCTGGGGCCTTTGCCTCTCTTACAACGAAATCCGCTCAAAACCTCCGGATAGGGCGCCGGCGTGGGTAGGGCCAGCCTGGGCTTAGAGATGGGGCGACCTCGGGGAGAGCTTCCCGGGGAGACGGAGCAACTCCCCGCCGCTCCTGGAGGCGGCCCGGGTTGGGGCCCTGGGCGGGGTTGGGATGCCTGGTGTTTCCGAGCGCTGTCCAGCGCGCCCCCCATTCTGCCGCATGTGCCTCCGCCCGCTTTTCAGATTCCGAAGATGTTTCCTCCAGCGACCGAAAAATGTCCAAATCAGCTTTAAACCAGACCAAGAAACGGAAGAAGCGGCGGCACAGGTAAGGCCCCTACGGCTCTTCGGTTACCTCTCCCGCTCACCCACGCCTGCCAACCCCTGTCTGGGGGCCGGGTCTCTCGGACCCTATTTTCACCGCCTCCAGGGTGAGGTCCAAGGCTGTGCCCGGGAGAGAAGCGTGGGCGTTGTTTGGGAACATCCCCCCGGGCCCTGGCATCCCTCCGGCTGCGCCCGGAGAGGACGATCAGAGGCCTCCGGGGAAGCGGCACCGAAAGGAAAGGCCCAACAAGAAGCCAGAGCCAGAGAGGGTCCGGCGGACCCCAGGTGCCGTCCCGGCATCCCCACAGCCCGAGAGCCACCCACGCCTCGCGGCGGGCGGCCCGGCTCCCACCTCCCGCCGAGCCGGCTCCTCGGCCTCCGCCCGGCACCCCTCCTCTCCGGCGGTCCCTGTGCTGACCACCCGCTACCTTTCTGCGCCCACCGTTCCCGAAATCTCGAGGGTGATTTCTGCATCAATGGGAATTTTCCCGTTAGGCTTCTTCTTTTTGGCGGCCCTGAAAAGGTAGCTTTTGTCCTGCGAGCCTCAGTTTCCCTGTCTGTAAAATGGGGACAGACAAGGGAATGCAGGGACTGGGCGACCCCACCAGCCCTCGCCGGAGTGGAGCAGGCTGCGCTGGGGTACAGACTGAATAGAGAGTTTCTTAAAAATATGTCTTTAAATAGGCGTTACTTGCACAAAGTTAAAATTTAATCCAAGCGGAAAGGTTATATCCTGAAAAGAAATCCTCTCACCCCAGACCCTCGCGCCTCCTTGGGCGTCAGCACCCGTGTGCTACCAGTTCCTCGCCTAAACTGACCAGAAGCTTCTAAAGGAAATAAAGGGGCCAGAACCAAAAATCGGCCTTTCTGCGCGTGCTGCTTCCAGGCGCTGTCCCCGCGCTCACCCCGGGGCTGTTACCCAAACCTCCCTCCGCCCGGGCCGCTGGGGACCCGCAGGGGCCGCTGGCTCCCGGGACACTTCCTCCTCATCCTCTGTGCCACGATTTGTTCTCAGCCTCTTCGCGCCCTTCTTCTCGGGGCTTTTCTGTGCTTCCCTCTTCCTTAGCTCCTGGAAACCCACTATGGACCCCCACCTTTTAAAACGGCTCTTCTCAGACCCCAGCTGGTTCCCAACTGATTGAGGGTGAACTTTGATTGGGTCTCTCCGTTTGTTCCCTTCAGGCAGCTGTTTGTTTTTGTTTAGTTTGTTTTATTTTAAACGGATTTTTTTTTTTAGTTCTGATCCTGGGTCATTTTTACATTCATTCAACCCAACGAATATGCATGAAAACACCCCTATGCGCCCATCTCTTGCTGGTCCTAGGGTGGGTGATGCTGCCAGCTTCTGAGTCTAGGGACAGGGAGCAGACTGCGGTGAGAGGACAGGTCCAAGTCCCCAGGCTGCGCAGCCGGGGACCGAGGGCGAGGTTCCCATAGCAAGAAGAGCCCTGGGAAAGTGTGTCCCACACCCTGGGTACCCCAGCAGTGCTTCTGCACCAGGACATCTCCCTGTGTGGCACTTGGAGCTGTCTGTCGCATGACCCAAAGTCCATGCTTAAGGTTCCCGACCCTCTGACCTCACCTGCCACCTTCTCCACCAGGGAAACCTTTGGGAGCTTTGCAGGGTTCCCAGTGAGACAGGGCCACAGCTTGCCACCTGCCTTGGGTGTCTGGCTATTTTCTGGTGCATGAAGGGAGCAGATTTTTGGAGAGAGGGGAATGGCTGCTGATTGCCAGTGCAATTTCTAATTAGTTTTTTTTTTTTTTTTAATGTGTTTCCCTGAGCTTCTCTCATTTGGGGATTTCAGAGAAGAGACCTTGGAATCTGGTGATGAGATACGGGCATCATTTTATTTCCCAGAAACACACGAGGCTAGCAGAGGCTGGAGAGGGAAGAGAGGATGGGCCAGAGCCTCGGGTGTCTCAGATTTACCGGGAAAGCTCCACACGGTGGAACCTGGGCGGTCTGGGTTCCTGTAGAAGGCCAGGAGCAGGTTTTGGGGTCACAGGGTGGGAGCGCAGAGAGGTTCCCTGGGAGCATGTCGGCATCACCAGCACAAGGATTTGGTCTGAGGCAGGCGTGAGGGGAAACTTGGGGGATTCGAGGCTTTGTTTTGTTTTTCCAGCATGAGCTCTCCTAAGCAGGGGCTGGCACTTGAATGATATGAAATGACCTATCCTCAGCTCTTCTCTTTGGCTCTGGCCACAACTCCTATGTGCCTCAGTTTCCCTAGTTTTGAAAAGAACTTGCATGTTTCGGTTGTTTATTTTGACGATCTGCGTAGGGGTCCTCTGGTAAGGGGCAGGGGAAAAATAGAAAGCAGCGAACCTTCAAAATTCTGAAGAAATCACTTTCTGTTTCCATAAGCCTTTCATCCTTGGCCCCCGGGAGAAGGGGAGAAACAATTTGGAATCAATCCAGTCACTTTCTATAAAGAGCAGAATCCTCCTCCCCCACAGCCCCCTGCGTCATCCCCCAGGACGAGAAAGGTAGCACCAGCACGAGGAAGTCAGTGCTTCACTCTGTCCCTTTTCCTGTGTTGGGGGAGGGTGGGGGTGGCCATGAAGGATTCCAAACCCCTGTGCTCATCCCAGAGTCCAAATTCCGGAGGCTCAAGCAAGGGCAGTACCATATTTGTAAGTGAGTTCGTAAAACCTGGACTCTATTGCCTGTTGGCTTGTTGATGAGGGGGCAAGATAAAGGTCACCCAGAACTTGGTGAATTTAAGATCTGAAAAGGGGAGAATTTGTGTCTGTAGGTGGGCGTGTCCTGTGTTTATTCCAGAAAGGAGGTCTATGAACCTCCTAACATTGGAGGCAACACTTTCTGTGTTGGAGCGTCGTCATTTGCACGTTTTCCTAGGGTGAGAGGATGTAGCACTTACCAGCTTCTGAAAGCAGTTTGACCCTAAATAGATCCATGCGAACTGCTCTGTGGGGTTGGGGGCTGTGCAGGTAGGTTCTCTCAGGGCCACCTGGGTGGAACTTCCCTGATTCCCCCCGAAGGGTGGGCCACTGAGCTTGTGTGTGGGGTGGTTGGAATGTGGCCCTTGCCTGCTGAGCACAGGAAGGGACAGGGTGCCCCCCATATTCCCACCCTCACAGTTCTGGGGGCAGCTTTAAGGAGCTGGGGGGGGGGCCTGGGCAGGTGGGACGGTGGAGTGTTGGGGGTGGTTGAAGGGGTGGGAAATTCAGTTGCACAAACACCAGGGTTGTAGCTGCATTTGGTCATCTGGTGAGTCTTGGAACTTGGAGTGCCATTTAAAAGATAACTCAGTCTGCGAGAGAAACCCAGGAAGCAGGCTACCTGAGGCATTTTGTTACCTGGTGTGCCTTCACCCTGTGCGAGAGAGGAGGAAGAGGGGCTTTCTGCAATTTTTCTACAATTTCTATGTTGATACCCTCCCCGCAAAGCACTTCCAGAAGGATTCCTGTAATGAAATGCCTCCCAGGGCCGGAACAATCCCCCCTACTGCCACCAGAAGGGTAGCGTGGGCCCTCAGCCTTGAACGAGGAAAAGTGCAGAGGATTAAGCTATGAGTGTGTGGACATGTGTGCATGTGAGAGTGTGTGTATATGAGTGTGTCAGGAAGTTTTTGTTTGATTGAGTTGAGCCCCTGGGTGTGGGGTCTGTCTAAGAGGCATAGGGAAGGGCCATTCTGTCCTTTCTGGGACAGGCTTGTCCCGTTTCCAGGGTCCTGAGTGTCCGGTTTTGCTCCCCTCAGGACAATCTTTACCTCCTACCAGCTGGAGGAGCTGGAGAAGGCATTCAACGAGGCCCACTACCCCGACGTTTATGCCCGCGAGATGCTGGCCATGAAAACGGAGCTTCCGGAAGACAGGATACAGGTAACAGAACTCTGAGTCCCTCTGCTTCCCATGTCCCCCATTCCTGGGGACACGGATGGCCCAGGCTCCAACCCCCTTGCTCTGAGCACCTGCTTGCCTGTAATTATGTTCCCATAAAGAATAGTTCGGTATTTGCTGAACATCTACCCTGTGAGGCGGGCATTGCTTGGGGACAAGAGACTTGGCAGATGGGGCCTGGCCCGCTGTTCCAGACTGTCGGTCTCCTGAGGAGCAGATCATACAAACTCTGAGGGGCCCTGTTGGGACCTCGGTGGGAGAAGGAGTTCGGGTGGGTCCTGGGTTCTGAGCACAGTCTCTGTTGTGGCACATGTCCCTTCAGCACAGCCATCTGCTCTAAGGCCAGAGGTGGCCCCAAGCCTCTCTGGGTACCTGAGAAGAGTGACTCCTAGCCCAGACTTCAGTCTGTTCCCCTTCCCTCTGCCCCCCTCCCCACAGGAAGTAGTTGTCCCCTTTCCACTCCCCGACCTGCATTGCCTGAGGCTGCTTCCTCCCTCACAACCCAACAGCTGGCCTTGCCCCCAGCTCCTGCTCCTTTACTTCTGGGTTGGGCCCAGAATGTGGCAGAAGACAGGTGCTGGCAGGTGTAGCCCTCCCTTCTCCTGGAGAGTTTTGTCATTGCCAGCACACACTAACCTGGACTGGGACGCCCTCAGCTGCACTGGGCGCGCAGGGCCTCCTTTCATTTAGCAGCAGGACCTCCCAAGTCCAGGATGCCCCCACCCTCTCCCCCACCCCCAGCTGGCCAGGAGTGGGGCTGCTTAATCTTTTCTCTGGGAGAAGATGAAGTCTGATGATTTCTAGATGGGGCCTCCACGAGGTAGAAGAGTGAGTGGCATGGGAGGAGCATTACTGAAAGGTTCGGGTTTGCCTTGGCTGGATCGCAGCCCTACCTGAAAGCTGTCCCCATTACCCGAGTGGTCCAGAGTAGTTTGCTGCTGAGGCTGGGAAATGGGGGACCTGACTTCCTGAAACCCCTCTGCTCCCAGTCATAGTCCTTTGTGTCTCCAGGTGCGCTGTGTGCTGGGGGGAGGGGAAGGGGGAGGGGCTGGAGAAGGAACAGCAGAAGGTGTGTTTGAGTGGCCCTGTGCTCTCTCACTGGAGAACCAGAGAATGGAAATGAGTCATTTCCTACTTTTCCAGAAGAGCCTTCCTCTCCCTTGGAAATCTATTTGGAATTTCAATCAATGGCTTTAGACACTGACACTAACAATAAGCTCAATTATTCATAATCCGATTATCCGTTAGTGCGTTATGCATGGTGGCCTGGATCCCTCACTCCCCACTCAGCTGGGTTCCAGTGGGGTAAGGCTGGGTGCTGATTCTGAATTGTGCGTGTGTTGTGTGTGTGTGTGTAAGCCAGGGCCCAGTCCAGCTGATGGGTGGGGGGCCCTCTGCCTGGCCTTCATTAGCTCAAAGGTGGCCTTGACAAGTGACTGGACAGGGTGGGGTGCTTACGAGCTCCCTCTGTTGGTAGGCCCCCATATCTGCACTATGGACCAGAAGGAAGGAACAGCTTGTTTCTTGCTGTGGGTTGTCCTAAAACCTGTCTGGCTCTGGTGATGGTGGGTGGGAGTGTTTGTAACTGTGTTGCTATAAATGCCTCAGCAAGTGGATGCTGGGTTGCTTTAAGTTCCCTGGGGGGGGGGGGGGGGGGGGGGGGGTGTCTGAAGCCATCCCAGGCAAGGAGGAGGTGGGCCGAGGAGTGATTTCGTTGCCCCCACCCATGAGTTTTAACTATGGAATGTGTGCATATGGGAGAACTGAGGCACGCATCTCTGCAAGTCTTTGAGCACCACATGGTTTGTTGGCTAAATGCTGTCCCCAGAAGGTGTTTGTGAGCTATCGAACAGTCTTGTCCCTAAATGTTTTACCGAGTGGCCTGGAAAAGGTCTTAGCGTGTAACAACCACAATCACAGCTAAATTTTACAGAGCGCTTTCCGTGTGCCAGCTGTTCCAACGGCAAGGTGTGCACAGGAGAGGCAGGGCGGGGAGGGGCGGGGCTGGTGGTTATGGGGTGCCCATTCTGGAACCAGGCTGCCTGGGCATGAGTCCTGGCTTCTCCACTTACCAGCTGAGTGACTGCGGGCAAGTCACTTTACCCCCCAGGGCCTCCAGCTCCTCGTCTGTAAAATGGGGATGGTAGTGGCTCCTGCAGACGCGAGGAGCTCTGTGCTTGCTGTGCTCCACCCTGGGCCTGGCACATGCCCATCGCTCACTCGGCTTCGGCTCTGCTCTCACTAAATCCTGGTGGCAACTGGGGGAGTAGAGACCATCAGCTTCCTTTTGTCACTGAGGAAACTGAGGCCTGGTCATTTGCCAAAGCCCCACAGCTAATCAGTGGGGAAGAAAGGGGCCTAGGTCTACACTTCAAACCCACATGCTCACCACCTCCTGCGTGGGTGTGAAGCCTGTGCTTTGACCTGGAGCCCGGGAAAAGAGATGGTTTGAGTTCAGGTGGGGAGCCTGTGTCAAACCTTTATAAAAATAACCAATATTATTGAGTACCTGGTACTATTCTAAAAACAAAAACAAAAAACTCATTCATAAAAAAAATTCTTCAGTGGGGTGAACACAGGCCTCCCTCTCCACTGCCCACCGGCAGCCCTTCCAGTGGTAACCAGTTTCCTCTGTTTCCTTCTAGGGATAATTTATGTGCATTGTCAAGGAATCAGAGCACCCAGTGAGCTAGGTGCTGTTACTATTCCCCTCTCGCAGATGGGCACAGAGGCCAGATGCAGAGCTGAGTCCCCTTAGGCTCAAAACACTTGCTTCACTATACGGACACTCTTCCAATCATTTCCTCTCAACATGTTTAGGTGGGAACAAGGCACCAAAAGATGGAAAGCTACCACTCCAGAGCCGATGCCTCCCCTCCTGCTTTCAGCCAGAGGCCTGTGTGTGTGTGTGTGTGTGTGTGTGTGTCCTCAGGGGACATGGGGGTGGGCGTGGGAAAGGGTAGTTATTAGAAGCTCCAAGTCTGAAGTCAGACATCCTCGAGGTAGATTTCTTCATTCTGGCTCTGACACCCACCAGGCTTAGCAGAAGCCAGATCACCTCTCATCGCTCAGTTTCCTCATCTGTGAAAAAACTAAGCCCCCGGATGTGTGTGAGGTCTGCTCTCTAGTGTCTAGTGAGACCCCAGTGCAGACATGAAAAGTCAAACACGCCTACTGTTAGGCTTTGTTTCCCTGCCAGGAAGCCAAGCTCTGAGCCTCTAATTACTCACTTGTAAAATAATAATAATAATAATATTTCCCCACATGCTAATTTAATAAAAGTATTATTATTCCTGGCATTATTGCGTACTTACCATTGACCCAGCTATTAAGTGCTTTCCATGTCTCGTTTCATTAAATCCTCGCAACAGCTAGATGAAATAGGTGCTCTTCCTCCTCCCATTTTCTGGGCGTGGAAAGTGAGGGACTGAGAGGTGAACCAAGTGCTAGACTGGATTCAAACCCAGCACTCAACCATTGTCCTGTGAGAGCGTATGAGGGAGACCTGAATGCCTGTCTACAAAACCCAGGATAAGCAGCAGCGGTGAGGGCCAGCCCCTCTGTAATGACCAGCTTCCTCTTAGGGCTTGGGCGGTGAGCAGCTCCGCTCCACAGCTCTCTGGGTTTGGGCGAAGGGATGTGGTGTGTTGCTGGAGAAAGAAGATTCCGAGTCTCCAGATCAGACCTAGTCCCTCAGTCCTCTTTGTGGCCACAGAAAACGCTGGGACTGGCCTTCTGGAAGCTCCTGCCAGATGTCAGCTCTGGGGAAGGGGAAACAGGTTTCCAGACTGACTTTTGTTCCTCTGTGAGGTCGCCTGTCCCTAGTATTATAAGGTTGGGGTATACATTTCTATTCACTTGTTTGTTTACTGTATTCTTTCCTGACAAAAATCGTACTTATTAAAAATGCCTCCATGGCAGAGATATGGACACGCAGAGAGACCTGAGCCCACATCTCAGCCCCGGGCTTCGCAGCTTGGTGTGCGTGGACGGCAGAGTTAGGGTTCTCTGACTGGCGCTGTTGATTCTGTCTTCTTTAAAGCAATCCTTGCCCAAGGGAAGGGAATGAAGGGAAATTATATTCCAGAAGTTGGAAGATAGGCACCCAGATGAGAAAGGGTTGTAGTGAGTCTCAGCCCGGGGCATTTATCAGAATCACTGAGCCGATTAAAATTTTTTTTTTAATTTTTCAATTACAGTTGGCATTTAATATTATACTAGTTTCAGGAGTACAGCATGGTGGTTAGACATTTATATAACTTACTCAGTGACCCCTCCCATAAGTCTGGAACCCACCGACACCCTATATAGTTATGACAGTATTATTGACTATGTTCCCTAAGCTGTACAAATTGGCAGTTGCAAAATAGTCACAGGGCTTTTAAATGTCCATGCAGGCCTCCCACGCCCAGCAATTCTGATTAAATTGGTTTTGTGTGGAGCCTAGGCACCTATATGTTTTAAAGCTCTGCCGGTGATTGTGTGCAGCCAGTGTAAAAATGCTGGGTCAGAGACTCAGGAAAGGAGTTCCTGTGTTTTGAGTGGGTTACTATTAATGGAAGAAAGTGGAGTTTGGGGTGACAAGATGGGATGGGGAAGAGATGGCCTGTCAGGTGTGCGGGGAAGGATGCCTTCTGGGGCTGGCTCCCAGGATGAGTGGGCAGAGCTGCCTCCTAGTGGACATCGGGGGCTGCAGCAGGCCAGGCTTCTCTGAGCCTGAAGCTAGGACTGAAAGGGCTGTGCTGAAATATGGTGTCAGAAGTGCTGAGTGGATATGGAATGTGAAGTCGTTAAATCACACCAGCAATGAGCCCAAATTAATCAGCTTCCAGCTAGAGGAGAGGGGAGAAGCAGGGCGAATGTGATGGAAACTTGGAAACTGCTACATGGCCGACAACACCAGGCCTGACGGCATGGGGCAGGATTAGAGGGCTGGGTCTCAGGTAGCCAAGTGACCAGAATGTGCAAAATGTATCCAATTG